CAGCCACGCCCGTCAACGCCAGTTCGCGGCCGCAGGTCGCGATGCCGACGCCCGCGGACGCGTGCAGGTCGTGGCCCGCGGCCCTGGGCGCGCCCCGCGAGGGTGCCCGTGCGTCGGGGCATCTGGAACTCGCGGCCGTTCGCGGCGTCGGAAGCCCGGTCGTCGTTGCCCGCCGCCAGCGCCGCGAGCTGCTTGGGCGGCGGGCCCCCGGAAAGCGGCTTGAGCTTGTCGCCGTCGTCGACTGGGGCGCGCAAGTGGCAGCTCGGCGCCGACGAAATCAAAATTAATGGTGCCGGGGCCCCGCGTGATCTCGCGGCCGCCCTGCCCGGGAAACGCGGGGCGCTCGCGGTAAACGCCTGGCGCCTATCTCGGCCGCCCCGCTGTTGCACTGCATGGGCCGCAGACCTAAAGGTTATGACATGCCGCGGGGGTCAGTGCCTGCGACCTCCACGGACAGGGCGCGCGCGCGCTGCGCTGACTGGGCACGCCGTCGCACGAAGTCGCTGCGGCGGGGCAATGGGCCTCGCAGTTCTCCGCCCGCGCCTCTTTCCCGACCCCTGCCGCGCAATGTGGAAACGACGACTCCCCCCGCAGGGCCGCAGTCTGGCTCGCCGGGCCCTGCGCGCCAGATTCACGGCGAAACGAAGTCCTCGGAGGTCGGCCGAGGCGCCGGCGTCCACGACGGCGCCTGGTAGGCCACCTGGCAGGTCGGCGCTCGCCAGGTAGCGCGGCGAGTCGCTTGATGGGCTCGAGCCTGCGCCCGACGATGACGGCCAAAACGGGAAGTCGGCCAGTGGGGCGGCGCGCGCATGTGCAGCCGTGCGCCGCAAGGCACCGCCGCGTCCGCTGCGGACGAAGCTGGGCGCACTGCCCGGCGACAGCATGAGGTCTGGCCGCGGCGCCCTGGTGACAGGGGCCGACCGGGGAGGCCGCGCGAAGTCCTGCCGCGGCGGGATCTCCACTGGCGCGCCCCTGTCCGACGCTGCGCGGGCCAGCGGCGCAATGGGCGGATTCGCGGGTGCGCTGTCTGCTGTCGCGCGGGCTGGCGCCGCGGGCGCTGGAACAGTCGGCGCGCGACCCGCGTCGATGAATCGGAACTCGGCGATGGCGTCGGCTCGTCCGCGGCAAACAGGACAACGCACCAAATGGGCGTCTGTGCTCTGCGAAAATTGCAGGTGGCATGCTTGATGCGGGATGTGCCGGCGCTGCGGGCGCACCGCCTGCTCGCCGTGCTGGAAGGCTTCTAGGCGGATAGGGCGCCCCCTGTTGTCGCCGCTGAACGTCATTACTGGGGGGGGGGCGGAACGGTCGGCGCCGCGGCCAGTGCAGGTGGGGGAATATCGAGCGTCTCCGCGCAACTTCGCGCGGCCTGGCGTCGTCGCACATCTTGACGCCGCGCGAGCTCGAGCGCGCCTGCTGCGTGCCGTGGAGCTCGTCGAGACGCCGTCGATGTGCATGGTCGAGGGCGGCGTGCGCATTGCGCTCGGATGGCCGCCGCCGAAAATCCAGGCGTCGCGCGGTCACTCTCGCGGACGGTTTGCTCGCGTCGACGGGGCTGTCCATATTGAACAGAGCCAAGTCCTGGGGGGGCTCGTGCACCGGCGGTGACGGAGCTGGCGGCGCGGACTGCGGCGGCCACGTGGAGCTCGCCATGACGCGCTGATGCCGAGGGCTGAGACTGGAGGCGCGCATGCCCAGCTCGGCAACTGCACGTCCGCAGACTAGGTCGGGGGCGCGGCGACTCGTGCGTCCAGGTCGCCTACCCAGTCGCGCCCCTGGGCTTCTCCCAGTGGGAAGCGCCGCCCACTTGCGTCCACCGCCGCGGTGTTACCGGTGGCGGTGGCGCCGCCGAGGCTGCCGGAGCTGCTGGTGTTGTCGGCGATCCTGAAGCTGGCGCGGCCGGTGGTGCTTCCCCTGACATCGCCGGTGCTGCGGGGGCTTGCGCGCGGCCCGCGATGTCGACCATCTCCCGACGCAGTCCTCGTAATTCGGCTTCGCGCGGCGAGGGCGAGGGCGACGACGATGCCCCTGCGCCCAATGGTTGCGGCCAATGGATTGCCGCGAGCCGCCCCACGAAAAAACTCGGAGTAGCCGCTGGCGCTGATGGCCGTGGCGCGGGCGCCGCTGGTCCGCCGATCCAGGGGCCGGCGCTCTGAAATGGGCCGCCGCCCCCAGCGCCCCTGGCTGCGGGCCGAGGAGCCCCAAGAATGCCCCTGGTCATCCAGACCGCGCGCGACCGCGGCACGGGTCGCTGCCCCGTCGGCCCCGGCGGCCCGCGCTGTCCCGGGAGGGCAAGTGGCGGGGGCATGGCGGCGATAGTAGCGCGGGGGCGCAGGCGGCGTCGAAGAGAGAGCGCGCCTTCGTTGGCGGGGCAGTCGCGCGCGAGGTGCCCCTCGGAATCGCAGCGTTGGCCTGCGAGACGCACCCCGTCAAGGCCCGCGGTTTTGCCTTGACAGCCCTAACCCGCGCGCGAGGTCCTGGACTTCCCACCCCTTGCCCTCGCCCTCCCCGATGCCCGCGAAGGTCTCCTGGAAGTCGTTCTCGGGCGGGTGGCTGGGGGAGCGCGGTAGCTTTTGCCCGCGTGTCCTTTCCCTTCCGTTCGATGGCCCACCGGGCGCGGCGCGCGGGCTCGCGGCTGTCGCAGCTGCGCCGGCGCGCTCCGGCGCGCTGGCGAGCCCGGGGGAGGCGCGCACCGCGCTGTTCCACGGGAACGTCGCGTAGCTCGAGGCCGTCGGCGGCTCTCCTCGCCGAATCAGCTGGCGGCGTCGGCTTCGGTGCCCGAGTCGATCTCCGCCGCCAGGGGCGCCCTCTGCGCCCGCGGTGCCGCGCTGGAGGCGCAGCGCCCGGACGCGGCCTCGGCTGGGGCACGGGGGCTCGGCGCCGATCCCAGCGCAGCAGGACCCATGCAGCCCCGGCTCTGCACCCGAGTGGGCGCGCCCGCGAGGTGCGCGCGCCGCTGGGCAGAATGGGCCGCCGAAGCGAGGTTGCCCGGCGACGCCTCTATCGCGCGCCCAGAGCGCGCCGGCTGGCCCGTCATCTGGGCGAGCTGCCGAGCGTTCGCGGGGCGCGCCGCGTCGCGGCGTTGCACGGGCATGGCGAGTTGAGCGTTCGGCGCGCCAGCGGCGCTAAGCAAGAGGAAGCCGAGCCCTCGTGGCCGATCGTGAGTTGACCAGCTTGCTGCGCCCGCTTGTGGAGGATGTCGAACCTCGCAAGGAGGTTGTCGATGCGCTCCTGCGGCAGTCGGTCGAAGTCCATCAGAGCCGATGCTGCCGAGGCGCGCTCCCCCTCGCCCAGGTGGCCCATTCTTCGGCCAAGCTGTGCATTCGGAAGGTCATCGGTGGCACTGGGTTGCCGCCGATGCGACATCGCTGGGTCAGGACAACTGGCGGCCATTCGTCCGCGGACTCGCGCGCCATGCTGGCAGGGCGCGACGAGACGTAGGCCGCTTGGCGAAACTCGCAGAGGTCTGAATTCTCCGTGACCAGATCATCACCCCGCACGCCCATTTCTGACAGGGCGCGCGAGCCTGGCGCTCGGGCCCCCAAGTGCGGAGGTGGCGCACGTTGCCGCCACCTGCGGCCGCTCAGGCGACGCAGCTTGCGATGGCGCACATGCCGACTCCGATGGGCTTCCACCGAACATGTAGTCCCTCCACATGCTGTACACAAGCTGGGCGCCGGGGATCATCGAGCGGCGCTGCGTTCGTCGCCGGAAATATATGCAGATGTGCACGTGTTCCTCCTCGTCAGCGCATTGGCTGTCTGCTTCTGTCGCGTTACTGTAGCGCTCAAAATACTCGGAACATCCCGCGACACAACCACACTAAGGCTCTTCGTACGTCGCGTAGTCTCTGTACTCAGCGCCGCCACTCGCACGATCGTCTGGAGGAGTGCGCGTCGGGACACCGTCCTGCCTGCCTGGCTGGTCTGAATAAGTGAAGCGAAGGGTCGGGCCCCGAGGTGTGATGCCTCGGAGCCATGGCGCCCCAGTCGTCGTGCCATCCGCTGAATTGCCTCGGATGGTTGCGAACGCAGTTCCCGTGCTCCCGCTGCATCCCCGCTCGGCACCAGCGACGCAGTCGCCAGATCCCTATTATTTGTTTGCTTCTTCCAAGGCTCTCGAGACACACTCCCAATAAATTTGGGACCTTGTTCTGGCACCGCATCTGTAAACGTTGTGTCGAACAGCCGTCTAACATCTGAGGGCGCCCCCAAGGCCGGGAGCAATGACGGTTTGGGATCCGCGAGCTGCCTGGACACAGTCCGGGCATGCCTGGGATGGGTCACAGAGCGGTCCTTGCAGATTTTGGTGACGCTGTCCTTGGCGAGACACTGGTTGTGCACGTCCTCGGTCGCTGGTCCTGGCGGATGGGTGGATGCCCCGACGGACCCTCGAGTAATGTCGCCGGCTATGCTGAGCGGCAAGAGGTGCACGGCGGCGGAGGTGTTGAAGGCGGCGCGCACGCACCCAACCGCGGGCCCTGGCGGATTGACAGGTACAACCCGGAGGGGCCTAAAATAACGTCTCCTGATTGAGCCCTGAAGAGGAAATGCACGAAAGCGGCAATGTTAAAGGAGGTTGACCAGAGTCGAATGCGGCGGAGGTGGAAGCCATTGCGGTCGACGCGGGGCGAGACATGGCATTTGTGGTTGGAACAAGAGCGAACATGCTCCGCGACCAATAAGGAATAAGATGGGAAACGCTGTTTCCGTAGAGGGATGAATACGGCGGTATGAATAAGGCGGGCACAAAAACTTGGCCAACATCCGTGCCCCCAGAGCAAGAACAACGTCGGCAAGGCAATATCACTACAACAGGCAAAGGTGAGAAGGGACACGTGGGCTACCGTTCGTGTAGGACGAGGACGAGGAGGACGAGGAGGAGGAGGAGGAATCGAGTGCAATAACCAGCAGGAGGAGGGGGAGGAGGAGGAGCAGGAGGAGGAGGAGGAGGACGACGACGATGACGAGGAGGAGGCTAAACACCAGAGGTTTCCTGGCCTTGCCGTACCCGTAAAGCACGACCGCGTGGCTGATGACGTGATTCCTGTCGCAACCCTGCGGCGTGAGGATGCCGTGGTAATACCTCTGGGGCCAACCCTCCCCTCCTTCCCCTTCCTCTCCCCTTCCCTTTCCTTTCCACACTCTAAAAAACTACTCTCCCGAAGACCCTAAGGTCGTAGCCTGCCCCCCTTTCCGCGCACTGTTTGCTGATATATCGCATCCTCTAGAAATGATCGCTTTTCCGAACGTCTTCGATGTTTCCAGAATGGTGCTCACGCTGCAGCGTTGGCTCCATGTGTTGGGCTGTCGGTCCGTCCCAATCATACTGCCGCTGCAACGCTGACCTCATTTCTTTGTTGCGGATACTCCAAATAATGCTCCCGCTACAGCGTTGTTCTCTGAGGCGGAAGTTTCCGCCCGTCCTTTTGGCATCCTACGCGGTGCACTGCCGACACAATTAGAAGGCGGAGAGTCAACCAAAATACGGCGGATCTGGAGTCAGGGAAGGGTCGATGCATTATCCGCGGACCCTGTCCCCATCGACTTGTTTTTAGGCCGCACCTCGGCCTCGGCGGGCGCTCGGAGCGATCCGGGCACCCGGGCCGGCCCTGGGCGAGGCGCAGCTGCTGGAGAGCATCCCGTTCAAGAGAACCTCCTGGAGACAACCCATGCGTCTGATGCCTTGAGTTTCGCAATGCGGGGCCCCCTGGAGGCCTGGACCTCTCCCCGAGGGCTGGTTTTCTCCCGGGGGCCCGGCGAGGGCCCGCCCCGGAGGTCGAGTTTCCCTGGGCGCCTGGGCGCGAGGGTTCCCGAACACTGGCAACAAACACTGCCCGCCGAAGCGTTTCGCGCCGACGGCCGAGCCGAGCGGGCGGCACCAGTTCCAGTCGCCGCCCGCGGCCACCGCGATGGCGAGCGGGCCCTGCTCCACCAGCGCGCGCACCAGCGGCCCCTCCTTGTTCTCGGGCAGCTTGGTCCAGCCTGCCCCCCCCTGCTGCGGCCACCAAGGGGGGAGGAGGAGGAGGAGGAGGAGGAGGAGGAGGAGGAGGAGGAGGAGGAAGGAGGAGGAGGAGGAGGAGGAGGAGGAGGAGGAGGAGGAGGAGGAGGGGAGGAGGAGGAGAAGGAGGAGCGACGACGACGACGACGACGCCGACGACGCGACGACGACGACGACGACGACGACGACGACGACGACGACGAACGACGACGACGACGACGACGACGACGACGACGACGACGACGACACGCGCGCGGCGGGGCGGCGGCGCGCCCAGCATGCCGATGGCCCTGCCGCCGCGCAGCTCGTCGGCCAGCATGTGCTTCTCGGACCCGTCCGGCATGATCACGGCCTCGAGGCCCCGGCGCCAGGCCGCCGGCGCTCACCGCGCTGATTCCTTGCGCCTCTCCCCGTGCTCTTTCAGTTATCCTAGCCTCCTCCTCCTCCTCCTCCTCCTCCTCCTCTCCTCCGCCCTCCTCCCCTCCTCCTCTCCTCCTCCCTCCTCCTGCCTCCTCCTCCTCCTCCTCCTCCTCCTCCTCCTCCTCCTCCTCACTCCTCCCTCCTCCTCCTCCTCCTCCTCCTCCTCCTCCTCCTCCTCAATCTCCTCCTCCTCGTCCTCCTCAACCTCGCCTTTCTCCTCCTCCTCCAACTCGTTTTCCTCGCTCCTCGTCCTCGTCATCCTCGCCCTCCTCCTCCCTCCTCCTCCTCCTCTTCCTCCTCCTCCTCCTCCTCCTCCTTCTCCTCCTCCTCCTCCTCCTCGCTTTCCTCGCTCCTCGTCCTAGTCATCCTGGCCCTCCTCTTCCTCCTCCTCCTCCTCCTCTTCCTCCTCCTCCACCTCCGCAGGCAGGCAGGCAAAGGTGCGAGGGAGGGTCCGGAGTAGGAGGGGGAGGGAGGAGGAGGGAGGTGCAGGAGGAGGAGGGCGAGGATGACGAGGAGGACGGTGACGAGAAAGAGGCGGAAAAGGAGAAGGGTCGCCGTGATAAGCGCAGGGGAGCCTTTTGGGACTCCCCCCCGCCCGCGCCCCCTGCGAGGGTGGGTGTGCAGTTTGCTGCCGGCGTGACCCGAGGGGGCTGCTCAGAAAGCGACTTGAGACAGCGGCGGTTGGCCTTCGAGGGGCCATCTCATCGCCACGGCTGGACGCAGTTCGGAAGACTGATGCGTCTGTAAGACGACGCCAAGACGAGAATAAAATCGGGTGAGGATAAATTGAACATCGGTGAGATCTGGCGGCTCTGGAGGATGTCTCGGGCGCCGCGGCCTTCTCAGAGCGTTCCCGAATGCTCTGAGAGCGTTCCCGAACGCTCTGGAACATATTCATCCTCGTCCCAGCCCTGTCCGACCACGGCTGGATGCAGCTCGGAAGACTGGTGCGTCTGGACCACAGGAGGGGGGTCCCGGAACCGATTTCGAGCTGCCCTTGTCTCAGCTAGCCCTCAGATATGGGGCGGGGGAGCGGGCGATGTGTCCGGGCCAGGAGGAGGGCGAGGAGGATGATCGCCACGAGGAGGAAAACGAGAAGGAGGAGGAGGAGAATGAGGAGGAGGAGGATGGGGAGGGGGAGGAGGAGGAGGAGGAGGAGGAGGAGGAGGAGGAGGAGGAGGAGGAGGGCGAGGAGGAAGAGGAGGAGGAGGAGGAGGACGTTTCCAGGACGTTTCCGTGACGACTTTGTCGAGTGGGGCCACAGCGCGGCCGCTCTCGCCCGCTCTCTCAGGGCGGCAGCGCGGCGGCGGCGTCGGCGTCGGCGGCGGAGCCGCGTCCTCGCGGGTTGGCGAGCCCGCAGCAAGGCCCCGCGCCAGTGGGCGCGACGGGCCTCGCCTGCGGCGGCCCCTGGCTCGGCCCCGCGCCAGTGGGCGCGACGGGCCAAGCAGGCCGCCGCGGGGGGCGCCGCACTCCCGCAGGCGGCGGGCGCGGCGGCGGCGGGCTCGCCAGCAGCTGGCGCAGCTGCGCGAGCTCCAGCGTCGGTGGCGCCGCCTCTCTCCGCCAGGCAGCTCTGGTCGGGCTGGGCCTCCTCGCGTCCTCCAGTGATTTCGCCCGCGTTGCCTCCAGCTCAACCTTCGCTGTCTGCAGGCGTCGCTGGCTCTCTTGCTCCTTCAGGCGCAGGTGCTGCTGGTGCCCGTCTTGCTCCGTCAGCTGGCTGGTGTCTGTGTCTGGCTGGTCGCTCTGTGCCGCGTCCAGGAGTCTGGCGGCTCTCTCCTCTGTCACCTGCTCGCTCAGCGGTGGCTTTCTCGTCCGTGCCGTCGAGCCGTCTGTCCTGTCCTCGGCGGCCGTTCCTCTCTGCGCGGCGCTCGTCGCCGCTGCCTCTCTCCTCCTCGCGTTGCCTCCGCGGCTAGACGGATCCCGCCCATTATCCCTCGCGGAGGGGCCTCTGGCCACACCTGGGGCTTTCAGAGGTGGGCGGGGGTCCTGTCCGTGGCGGCCCTCCTCTTACCTCTGCTGGCCTCAGCGCTCGGCCCGCGCCGCGGGGCGCCCCCCTCCCATTATTTGAGGGGCCCCTGGCCACACCTGGGGCTTTCAGAGGTGGGAGGGGGCCCGCGCGCTGGGGCACCAGGTCGCCGTCGTGCTCCGCGGGGGTGTCGCCGAGGGGCTCCGCGTCGCTCCATACCGAACCTGGGAGGTCCTCTCCAGGATTTACATCTGACGCATCCTCGCCCATCCTTACTGCCCCTGGGAGGCCATCCCCGCCACAGGGTCCTACAGACCATTTTCCCAAGAAAAAGTGCTCGCAGCCCCCTTCGGCGACTCCTGGGAGACCTGGGAGGCCATCTCCAGGGTTTTCATCTGACATGCCTGCCGTGCTCGATCTCCACTCCTCTAAGTCGGCCAGCTTGGTCCAGTTCTTGAGCAGGTATCTCCTTGACTCGCATGTTGTGTGCAGGCGGCATGGGGCTTGCATCTTGTCGGATACGAGCTCTGTCGCCGAGCTCGCGCATAACGTGCAGGACCATATTCGTTGCCTGCCTGGCCACCGTAGCGGGTGAGTCGGGTGCGATGCGCTGCCGTGGAACTCTACGCACCGTCCTTCTGCTGGCGGTGGCCCTCCGCAGTTCTGCTCGAACCAATCCTTGATGCTGCTGAACGCCGTCTTCGCCGTGACCGCTTGGTTACAGCACTTGCACCTCCCGCCTCGTCCTCGTCTAAGCCTCTCCAGGTCGTGTGTGGTGGCTGGTCTCCTCTGGAAATCGGGTCCAAGGCACTCAGCTTTTACCTTTCTCTGCGCGCGTCTCAGCTGTGCGGCTTTCTTCCGTGACTGCTTCAGATCTCTGTGTTCCGTCGGCCTCCGATCGATGGCGTCCTTTGTGCATGCCGCAATGCGTGCTCTCACCAGGCTCGCCGTCGCTCTGACCCAGTCGCAGCAACTCACCTGGTTCTCAGAGATTGCGTGCTGTTTGGCTCCAGTGTCTGCCAGGCTGTCCGCTGCTTCGCCCCCTTCCCATGCTCCACGTGGAATGTCTTTCGCCTCCGCCTCCGACTCGGACAAGTGACTGTGCAGGTGGAACATCTGGATGATGTGCCGTCCTCCACCTCTGGCCTCAATTGCCTTTTTCACGCGGTGCCAGAGGTCGCAGGTGGCTCCTGTTCTGCCCGTTTGCTCATCTTTCCTCGCGTTCCCGCCGATGAGGGTGATCTCACTATCCGTCCAGAAAGTCAGGCTTCCGCTTGTCGACTCCAGGCAGTTGATTAAAGACCACAGCTCTGCGCGGTTGTTGGACTGCCTTGGCCCAGGCAGTGGTCCGTACTTCGCCGCCGTGGTCGGGAAGTCTCTGGCGACGCTGCTCGTGTCCAGCACTACCCAGCTCCATCCGCATCGCCTGTACCTCTCGTCGTTACTGTACTCTCCTCCGGAGCCGTCGCCGCTGGCGATGAGCTGCTCGCCGCCTGGTGCGTGTAGCCTGCCGTCTTGGAGGCGCAACCCCATCGCCGTCTCCTGCTCCGTCGCGCTGCAGGGCGGTGGCACCGTCCAGGCTTTCGGCGTGAGCCCTCGGAGCCAGAAAGCAGGCACCTCCTCCGCGCCCTTCTCGGCTCTGGCCACAAGCCCTGCTGTCTTCTCGATCTCCTCCGTGCACTTCCTCGCCGAGCAGTTGCCCCAGATGCGGTGGAAGTCGTCCTCGCGCTGGCCGCGCTCGCACAGCTCGCCCCCCGTGCTGAACTCCTGGATCTTTCTCGCCTTTGTCCACGTGCCTGCGCATGCCGCCGCCAGCAGGGACCCGTAGGCCTAATGCTTGCCTCGCTTCCTGAGAGACTCCAGGTGTCTGATCATGTCCGCGCAGTCTACTCCGTGCTCCATGCCTCCTCCAGTATGGTGGTCAGCTGCTTGGTTCCACAGCTGAGCCCTCATACTGTCCAGCAGCGCCTCGATCATGACCTCGGGGTCTCCATCTTCCTCGTCTGCTGGGAAGCGCCGCTGGTTGCCGTCGGCGTCGATCCAGACGTCTGGGCCTCTCGAGTCCCAGCCGAGCTCCCAGAGCAGGAGGATGATGCTGCCCATCGCGCCTCGCATCTGCTGCCAGCGTCTCCTGGGCTCCGTCTGCCAGAGCCTGAAGTACACCTTGGGCCAGGCTTTCCGCGCTTGCCCCCTCAGGTGCGCGGAGCTGGCTACGCGCCATCGATATCGCAGGGTCCTCGAGCCTCCAGCGCCAGGAAGGTGGTCAGGCAGCGTCCTGGCCAAGCTCGCCTCAGCGCCTGCGCGCACCTCCTCCTCGCCTGTCTGAGCGCCCATGGTGATAGCCCGTGCGCGGCGACCCCGTACACCAGCGAGGCTGTTGGCCCTTGGTGGCCACGCCCCGTCTCCTTTTCAACTTCAGCTTCGTCAGCTTGCGGCCCACCGCGCCGAACCTCGCGTGCGCGTCCTTCGCCCTCTTCGCGTGCGTGAGCCTCTTCGTTGTGCCCTTCGCCGCTCTATCAACTCCAAGGTCTCGCCCTTCCGCGGCAGCTTTGACCTTGATCCCCTGCCGGTTTAGCCGAGCCTGGACTTCCAGCGCGGTGCCGAAGTTGGAGGTGAATATGAGCGTCTTATCCGCTAAGTTGAGCCCATGCTGCGCCAGTCCCCACTTCAGCTTGCTCGTCGCCAGCGTGAGCTGCTCGGTGACCGCCTCCTTGCTGCCGACAATCTTGATGCTGGTCTCGTCGAACCAGGCCCTCGGCATGGGCCTGGGCAGCGCCGGGGCCTCGTCGACCATGTGGCTGAGCACCGCGTACACTGCAGTATTGGCCACGTTGTTGGAGTGCCTCGAGCCCGCCAGGATCGATCTGTCCGCCAGCATCGGCTCCGAGTAGGAGCTCTTGCACCTCAGGACGCGCGCCCACGAGTGCTGCAGCAGCAGCATGGTGAGGAGCCTCGGGTGCCTATGCGCAGGCTGTCGTAGAACTTCTCAATGTCTGCGAGCGTGCAACCTTGGAAGATGCCGAGCGCGTCGCAGCATTCGTCCGAGAGGATCCTTCTCAGAGCTTCTCGCTTGCAGCTGTTGCCTGCCACCGCCGCGTCCCGCTCCCGCTCCTGCTGCTTTGCCCACGCTCTCACCGCAGGCCTGTGCAGCAGCTCCCAGCACCTCGCCAGCTGCGGCAGCAGCGCGAGCGCGCGGTCGCCCTTAGTCGGCTTGGGGATTATCATGGCCAGCGCGTTGAGGAGCTGCCAGGGCCGCATCAGCTTCTGCTCGCGCTCGTTGAACAGGGACATGATGGCCAGCCTGCCCTCCTTCGGTAACCGACGGATGTCGCTACAGCAGAGCTTGTCGACGCCTTGGCCCTTGTCGGGCTCGCCCGCGAGGGCAAGGTCCAGGTCTTCGACCGTCCACTGTGGCGCCTCCACGGCTGCCGCTCTCTGCCTGAGGTCGTCGAGCAGCTGCTTGTGCTTGCCGTGGGCGACCTCCTCGCACTGCCAGATCTTCGCGAACGCATCTGCCTTGGCGTCCACGATGTCCAGCGGGCTGTCCGTCACGTCCGTCGGCGTCGCCAGCTCCCCCTCTCTCCTGCAGGGCGGCTTGGTGATCCTGTGGAGCGCTCCTGGCTGCTTCTCTGCGGCGGCTAGCCACTGCCCGAAGCCTCTCGCGCTTTCCCTCAGGTCGCGGTTCACCGCTGCCCCTCGCTCCTGCTCTGCCTGCTGCGCCGCGCCGTCGACGATCTCCACGTCGAGGACCTCCAGCGCCGCCAATCTTTGCCTCCAGATGCTGCGGCGCAGGAGGGCCGTTTCCGCGGCCGCTCTGCCTGCCTGGGGCATGCCGTCGTGCGCCAGGGAGCGTCCAGCACGCGCGATCTCTCGCTGCTGGGCTAGTCCTCGGCCTCCTCTTCAACTTCGTCAGCGTCGAAAGGAAAACCTCAGCGCGGGCCCACCAGTCTGCGTTGTGCCCGTCGTACTTCATCCTCCTCTCGCCGTGCTCTCTGGTGTTGGTGACCTTCAGCTCGTAGGCCTTGCCTCTACCAGTGAAGTGGTGCCTATCCACTGGGTCGATGCGGTGCGCCATGCAGTAGAACCGCTCGCGCGTGCCGATGGTGTTCGCGAAGCGCTGCCCGAGCTCGCGCGCCGCCTCCTCGTCGACCTTGTAGGCCGCGGAGCTGCTGATGTAGTCTGGGGCTGCAACCTGCACGCTTGGCTCCGCGTCTTGGATGGCCTGCGCTGTTTCCCAGACGTGCCCCAGTGTGGTGGTGTCCACGCCTGCAGCTGCTTCTCGAATCCTCCTCGTCAGGTCGTCCACTGTGCTCTTCTCGGTTGGCTTGGGCGAGGTCCCCCGACTGTTCCGCTCGCTGTGTTCGCGGTTCTCATGGTCTCCGCGGGCTGCGCCCTCCCTCTCGCGGTCCGACTGGCGGGTCCCCAGGGAGAGGGGTCGCTCTGGTATTGACGAGGTCCTGGCTACCATGGTGTTGGTCGTCTGGCCCGCGTCATGCTCTCCGGGCTCGCCAGGGACCTCCGCCTCGAAGCCTTGTGTGAGCAACATTTCCTCCTCAACTCGGTCGTCCAGGTCCGCGAAGGGGTCGACTTCGTCATCTGACCAGCCAGCGATCCCGCCCATCCTTACAGAACCTGAGAGGCCATCCCCAGGATTTGCATCTGACTGATACTCCCCCATCCTTACCGCTCCTGGGATGCCATCCCCGCCGCAGGGTCCTACAGACCAGTTTTCCAGGAACAAGTGCTCGCAGGCCCCTTCGGCGACTCCTGGAAATCCTGGGAGGCCATCCCCAGGGCTCGGGCACGCCAAGGCGGGAAACTGCGACCAGCCTCCTGCTGCTGGTGCCAGCGCCTCCCACCTCGCGTTGTCCAGCACCGCCTCGTAGTCTTGGGGCGGTGGGCGCTGCTCCTGCTCCTCTACCTCCTCAGTGCCTCCTCCTGCTGCTGCTGCTTTCGCCTGCGCTGCTGCCACCTCCTGCAACCTCCTCCTCGCCCTCTTGCTGCCTGGGTTGGGCGGCTTCTTCGGGCGGGGTGGGTGCGGGAAGGGCTGAGGCATAAGCAGCGAGCGGGTCCTTGTCTCCTGGGCCTCGGCGTAGAGCGTGAACTTCATCCCGATGTGCGGCCTCCGCGGCACGTCGTAGACTGCTTCCGCGCCCTTGATCAGCTTCTGCCCCTGCTCGTTGACCAGCGCGTAGTCGATCAGCGACTCCTTGTCCCCTAAGTTGCACGTGTAGGCGCCGTCGGGCAGTGAGATGATGGACGACGCTCCCATTGCCTTGGGCCATCCCGAGTCCCACATCTCCTTCGGCTCCTTGTTGAAGCCGCCGCAGACTATCCACGCGCCGCTGAGCCCCTTCAAGAACGAGGAGAATGCCGTCAGCTTACGGGCGTTGATGCCCTCGCGCAGCGGCTTCCCCACATCCAGGTAGAGGCTCACCACCGTGATCGTCGTCCCCTTCAAGTGCCACGTAACTGGTGTCCAGTCGCACAAGTCCAGGTCAGCCTTCCACCTCCCGTTGCTCACGTCGGTCGTCGGCTTCGTGACTGTGGTCGGCTTGGCCTGGCTTCGAAAACTTGAAGTCCGCAAGTGTCCCCTCATGACAACTGCCGTCCCTCCGAACGTGCCGTGCTCCGATCGAGAGCTGGGCCTCGCCGCCGTGAAGCACGCCTTGTACCTAACTTCACAAACTCGTACTCCGTGACGTCGAGACTGCTGGCGCCCACGTGCGTCTCCTGGAACGCGTAGGCGTCGTACCCGTGGCCCAGCTTCTGCTTGGCCATCCACAGCTTGGCTGTGGGCCCCCAGTTGGTGAGGTTCGCGCAGAAAAGGGTGCGCTCGCGAGGCTCGGCGGCGCCGCCTCCTTGGCGCCGAGCCCCGCGCGCCTTCCCTCAGGCTGAGGCTGACCCTCCTGGGCCTCCTCCTCCTGCCTGCGCGCGCAGCTGCCTCAGGTACTCCTCAGCGTCGCCCTCGG